TCCTCCCCCCCCACCTCCTCTCCTCCTCTCTGCAGGTTCAGGTGGAGCTGCGTAGAACATGGAGGAGTTTAACGACGAAGGACTGCGTGTTGCAGGACTACAGGCTCCGCTGCCTGTCAGCCAACCACACCAGCACTCAGTTTCCCAGAAACACCCGGGCCCAGTCCATCCTGCAGACCGAGACCACCATGCTCTGACCAGAACCGGCCGGAAACAGCCGGGTTCTGCCACAGCACCCCCAGCTGGGGGAGAAACCACATGTCAATCAGAGAGAAACTGACTGGAAGAAAAACCAAGAAAGTGCCAAACATGGAAACACCGGTTTGCATTGACCTTTAACCTCGCTGGAACGTTTCCCACCTGGACACTTCAGCTCCCAGCAGATCCCTCCTCACTTAATGTCACTGTAAAAATGTTTGAAAATGAATGAATGTTTAGTTTCAGCAGAATAATATTACAGTAAAAATATAGAAAATTGTATAATTCTTAATGGAGAAGACAAACAAGATCTATAATTTGTATCTTTTCCAACACAAGTAGAGAAACAGCTGCTCCTCTGGAGCTTCATATCTGCAGAAGGAGCGATTATTAAACGTGAGAGAAGGCTGGAGGAGGAGCGAGGTTACGGAGGATGAAACCTGCCCCAGCACCGGGCGGAGCGCGCAGTCAGACTGATCTGAGCTCATACATCTATGTGAGGGAATGAGAGTTTGATTCGTTTACCTTTAAATCTCACTCAGTCTGCTCTCGGCTCGTTCAGCTGCACAAAAATATGGAAACGGTGAAAATGTGTTCCACCTGGTGGAACAGAAACCACACAATGCAAAACTGGGGGAAGGAAACACATCAGGCATGGTGGAGGATGTGTGGTGCTGTGGGCTTGTTTCTCCTTCCAGGTTGATTGTAATTCTTGTTTCTGAACAAACGTTTGACTTGATTCTTTTTTTTAAACCACAGAATGAAACAAAACTTTACCTTTCAGGTTTAAATGCTGTAAATTGTCTCCGATTCCAGGATCTTAAATCGTTTTATTAAAAATATTTTGCTACATCCAAGAATTTAAGAAATCCTCCTCCTAGTGGCCATTTTAGGTATTACTGGTGAAAACAGCTCCTGTTATTGTTTAGCTTCTTATGCATTAAATCCTGTATCAACCAGCAGCGTTTTAAAAATTCAGGATGTAAAAATCATGTTTCACAAAATGAATTTAATTTACTGGAAAACATGATAGAAAAATCCTCCAAACTGACATGAAGTTATTACGACATTTATGCATCAGAAATTCATGGAGCCTGCTTTGTTTATGACGTCTGTTTGAATTATTTTTCATAAGTTTCATTTTAAATGGCTTCATCTGTGTGTCTGAGGGGCCGATTATTACAGGCAGGTTTTATATTTTTATATCATTTTTCAAGCCTATAGATCATTTGGATTTAAATAAATGAATGAAAATTATTTTCCTTTGTAAAATGGACTCTGTTTATGTTTTTATCTGCATTATATTAATCATGGATGTATAAAAATGTGGAAGCTTTTAGACACAACGTAAACATCTGGATTTTTTTTAAATAAAAACTTAATATAAAGTCTGTTTTTTAATTGTTTTTCACTTAGCGACGATTACTGAAGCTTTGTAAAATGTAATGTTTGAAAACAATCTGATTTCAGATTGAATATTATTAAATATTTATGTTCTGAAATGATTTTTAAAATACTTCTGTTTTGCCATCTTAGCTCGTTTTTCAGAGATTCATTAGACACACAGTTGATATTTCAACTTATTTTTGAATTTTAATAATTATCAGACTTTCACATCAGACTGTATCTGTTGCGCTAACTGTTAGCATCATGGCGCCTGCAGCTGCTGTGAGGTTTTCCTCAGAGTTAAAGGAATATGATAGTTATTGTACTTTTTATTATTTTCCCCATTTGCTATTTACAAAATTGTGGGAAAAAATAAAGATGGTCTTTTAGCTCCCATCTGTGTGAACCTGTGAGTGGACAGTGTCCATCCTAAACCTGAATGTTGTTGGTCCGTTTAGTTTATTCGGCTCTTTCTGTGAGCTAAATGTGAAGCTGAAAGTGAATAACTGGACCCTGACGCAGGTCTGTGCTGTTTGTGTCTGTGTGGTTTCGGGAACTGACCTGCTGACGGGACACGATTCTCCACTGACATCTTCCTCGCTCTTCCTCAGCGTCACGCTGAACTCAGAGAGTTAAACTGTAAGCCGAAACAGTCTAAGTAGCTGAAAGTTTTTCTGAACTCCTTTATTTCCTGTTCAGCTGTGATAACGAAACATCTGGACGTTCGGCAGCCGAAAGGTTTGATTTATGATTTGATGCTAAAAATCCTTCTGGGGTTTTTCTTTGTCGACTTTGAACATGAAGAGTAAGAAAATCTCTTTAAACTTCATCAGATTGGATGAAGTCTTGCTCCTGAAGTTTGATTTAGCTCTTGACTTTGATTAGGCCATTCTGATAAGCTGAAGCTGTAACTTTGCAAAGTGGGGGAACATTCAATAATTTTACAATAAACAGCATGTTTCTATTTAGTTCATGAATGAAATTAATACAAACAGTAAAAAAAGAATGAAAGCATAAAACATCTGCTTTATAAAGAAATACTTTATTTTAACTTTGCTGCTTAAAGTAAATAAAATCCTGAATCTTTAAAATGACTAAGGAATAATTTATTACTTTTATACAATACACTTCTTATGGCTTTTAATAGTGACATAAAAACTGGGTTAGTTTTGGTTTTCTTTGAACTAAACTGAGTTCTGATATATTTTATGGTCACTGACTCATATTTGACACAATGTTCATGTGATTTCCAACACATTTTCAGTTTGTAATTACCAATAATTAGACACTAATAACTAAATAAAACTTTATTTTTGGTCAGTGCATTCAGACAGTTAAAATCAACTTCATCAGGATTTCAGTAAGAAATTCAAACGTTTTTAGGCCAATCGCTGTTTTTCATACCAGCTTTGGCCACAAGATGGCAGTAAAGTCCTGGACTTTCACCTCTGTTATTTTTAATTTCTGTCGTTTACATTGAAGATTCAGTGTAAAAATGTTCAAAATCATAATTATTGACAAAATATATTTATTTAATTCTCAGCAGCACAATTTGAGTGAATAAGTAAGCAACTTTATTAATATTTCATAAAGCATTTCACAGGAAGTAATGCATTAAAACAGGTGCAAAAATGAGATGAGAGGAAAAATACAATTATCTTAAGTGTTGAAAGCAAATGTAGCAATTTCATTAGTCAAATTAATATTTTATTTTTCATGTAGAAGAAAATAAATATAAGAAACAGTGGAGCTCATCTGCAAGCATCAGGTCTGAGGATGATTAATATTTTAAATTAAGCTTCATGTCCAGCGGTGTGTTCACATGTTCGCTTTAGTCCTTCTTCGTAATATTTGCAATGACTGAAGAGAAAAAAGTGAAAGTCAGAGTTAATTTATAAACGATGCATTGTTTCCTGTGTTTGCATTTGAAGAGCTGATGTACCTTGTTGGACCCAGGAGTCGTTGGGATGGACACATACGGGTCCTTTCTTTGTGTAGAATCTGGACACGTAAACAGACTCGTTAACTCTGGTGTGATTCTGCGTGTTGAAATGAATCAGAGTGAACTCACATCACAGCGTTCACACAGGGAAACCGGGCCGGCTGCTTATGGAAAACCAACCGGGAGACTTGACGGCTGAGGTTCTTCCTGGAGACGTGGAGGCAGCACGGCCGGTTCTTCCCGGTCGGATAGTGAGCTGCAAACGACAGAAAGGGGATTAGAGTTTAAACTGCAAAAACACAAAATATTAACAAGTATTTCTCTCTAGTTTCTGATGCAAATATCTTCCTACTTGAAATAGGACAAAAATGACATAAAAATAACTTTTCATGAAGATATAGGAACTTTTTTTAAGTCAATAATTCATTAATATTGACATAAAAACTAAATAGTAATAATCTTCCTGTTAAAAGGTTGTTGTTCCTTCCTACTGTCGCCTTGTGCTTTCTAAGACTTTGCAGAAAAGTCAGTGAGTTGATACAATCCTCCTAAAATAGATTATTGTTTTTCCATGACAAACTGGAAACTTTCTGTCCTCCATGTTGTTGGGTTTTACTGGTTTCCATTACAAGTGTACGTAAAACTTGTCAATATTCCACTAATGTCCTAAAATCATAATTTCTCAATTGCTGTGTTTCCATTAAATGAGAAACATAATTAAAATCAAACATGAGTAACTGTTTATGTGATAAATCATTAGAAACCATGCAGCACCATCATCCTCCTTCCCCTTCCTGTCGTCTTCTTTGTCGTTTCCGTCAGTGGTAAACGGGGAAGCTTTAGATTATGACATTCTGAGTGGAATAGAGTCTGGTTTTGATAACGCCTGGCAGTATTTTCATGTTTTCCAGACTAATAAGTAAATATGCTCCTACATTTAAAGTTACATAAATAAATAATCTAAGGTTTTCTCCAGATATCGGGGCTGTCACTAACTTCGATTCAGCCAAAAAAAAAAAAAGCATTTTATTGAAAAACGAGTTTTGTTTAAGTTGGCATCTATTCATTAAGCAATTGTTTTTTCTGTAATTTCAATTATGAAGATATTCTGATGATTGTTTATTCTGTGGACATAAATTTGTTTTGTTCTTTTATCTGTTTACCGTGTCAATGTTTCTTTAAAAAGTTTTCAAATGCTGCCATCAAACACCTAAAGGTCAGAAGTTTCATGGTATATAAAACTTAGACAATAGAAAAGTATCGGTATCTGTATTGGCGATACGGGGATGTATCTACTGTGTATCGGATCTTAAAATGTATTTTAGTCGATGTATCGGCCACACAGTCACATGAAAGCAGTTTGTGGCGACTTCAACCGGTCCGAGTTTTGTTTTGTGCAGAATGCATTACAATAATCAAAATAAAACTAAAGCATTCAGGACAAGAGCAGATGGATCATTTAAATGTTTCCAACAGGAGATTTTGCCAAAACACCAAAAATCTCCTTTGCAAAAACACAAAACCTGCAGTTAGTTTAGTCTTACTTCAAGTGCAGAAACCAAAAACCCGTGGTAATATTTTGTGTTTTTGCAGTGGTAAATAAACTGTTAATAAACTGAAGTGTCTGTAGCCGATGGATGAAATGCAGACGTGCGGTGAGGAGAACCTACCTGCAGAGGAGTGGCTGCATGGACAGGCTGCGAGCAGGAGGAGCAGCAGGAGCAGGATCTTCATTTTGATCATCAGCTGATGGGTCGGACTGACAGCAGCTGATCTCTGGTCTGGTATTTATCGGTGCCATCAGCGGGGCTCCTGTGGCCCCATGACGCTCATGTCTTCATGCTTCTGCAGGTTGTGTGATTGTTTCGTGGTCAGTGTTTCTCACCTCCGCTCCAAACATCAGAGGCTGTTCGCCCCTCCGACCACAAGCTTCATCTCAGTGGCATGTTTCTGAGAAACGGCTTCACACGTCGTCAGAAAACACGTCGCCTGTTTCGCTTTGTCATGGTGGCAACTTCACACAACAAAACAGGATTTCTGTTTCAATCTGACGGCTAATTATAATAAACACAAAGGCTGAGGATAATCATCAGATGTGTTTTCAAATTTGCACAAAAATATCTCAAACTAGTTTTTAAATGGACTCATTTCTGACGCTTACGACAAATTTCCTTTAACTTCCAATCAGAGCGGAAACAGAAACCTTTAGAGTTTGGGTAACACTGGAGTCTGACATGAACATGACATAACGACTTATGAACATTTATGAATATTTATGGCTGCTGACATGAAATGCCATAATGAAACTTTAACGGATCTTTGCATTAAGTGTCATTATTTACTGAATAATGCAAAGTTGACACTTTTAATGTAACGTTTAGTGCATCTTTACATTAGAAGAGTCATTATTTACAAATGATGCTTCATGTCAGCAGTCGTAAACATTTATGAAACTCCTTCATCATGTTAGTCTGGTGCATAAACACAGAGTTACAGAGTGTTGCACTGTTTTAAATCCAGCTCAGATTTATGCTTCACAGTGAGGATAACATTATGATTTGACATTTTCAGGATTTCCTGTTCTGACTGCACAGGAAGTCACACATGGATTTCCCACATTCAGTCGCTGTAATGAGTTCACACCTTTTGTTCCAGAACAACAAATCTAAATTTGTTCTGGTGGTTTTTTATGTGACAACATACAGCAGAGCCATTACAGGTAAAGAGTGTCTGCTTTTACAAATAAATATATGAAAGATGTTCATCATGTTTCAAGTTTCTTAATTAGATTTAGGTCTGTACTTTGACTAGGCCATTTGAACACATTTGATCGTTAAAAGTCTGGTTTTCTTCCAGGACTATAAAGCTCAGTGAAGGTTTTGTAACTGTAAGTGTTAAACTCTACCAGTAGATAAACAGCTGAAACGTTTCGCATCAACCACTCAGCTGTGGTCAGTTCAGGCTGCTTCCTTCTTAGGTAGAAACGATGTTGCAGAAACTAAAGTTTTGTGTTTTGTAACATTCTGTGGTTGGGCCTCTCGGATCCCCGTCACTGTTAGT